CCGTCTTGTTGTAGACACATTCTAAGTAAAAATATGAACTATTAGCCGTTGCTCGCTCTTATATTAACGTACTGCCAGAGCTACTGAACCTAGAATCTTGAAATATGCAGGTAGGTTCTTTGTACAGCGTAAATAAGCATCAAGAAAGATTGTATTGAATTTCATCCGTTTTCAAGTTGGAAACCTGAAGGTTTAGGTTAAGAAAAAATATTCTAACTGTTTGAATTTAATCCTTAAATTCAATTGTGTGAATTTTCATCAAATATCAGCTGATTCCATAACAAATTTCAAGATGGCGTATGACGCAAATTCTAATGCTACAGGACTAAACTTGTTTTAGCTGATTCGGAAAAAATATAAACTCGCAGCGATGAAATATAATATTGCCGTATCAACATCTGGAGATGAAATAAATAAAGCGTTTATTTCAATGACGGCATACCGCGAAATAAAACACAGCGGAATTGTAAAATAACGTTTGCGTCTGCCATAACATAACATTCAGATGGACACTTCAATGCCGAATCGATTTATTTTCATTCTGTCTCAACGTTCTCGATTCGGATGTGCCGAATACAATGAAGGGTAAAGAATTACGCACAACTTTTTCGCGAATAAATTGCGGGCTATAGTTAGGGTAGTAGTTCCTACAGTTTAAAGTAGACTCATAAAAACGGACAAAACATGATAGCTGGGGAAATGGTGCAGGCAGGGAAATTGGATTATTATTATGATTTGGTTTTACACATTTAAGTGAAAGCGAAAAGAGAAAAATTAACAGCTAATATCTGTAAAAATCTAATGGCTTAATTGTTTCGCCTGCTAATGGTTATTATATTTATTTAATTTCATTAGTTGCATGCTACATCGGGTTATTATTAAAGTGAAAGGAATCGGGCGGGACTCAACGATGTAGGATGCCATTTGAAAGTTTTTTAAATTTTGTTTCGCTGCCTCCACATCAACTGAATCAGTTCCATGGAAACAGTGAAACCAGTTCTAAGTTTTACTACCAGTTGTGTTGAACATTGTGGTGAAGTTATACGATTCTAAGCTTAGAGAATGTAGAATAGACAAGGACAGATATACGTGAGACAAAGATATGGCCAAGTGAATTAATGTTTGCGCGTCAGAAGTGGGGGAATATAACGAGATTACTGTCGATTTTATTTTAACACGCTTTTATTAGCTTCACCTGTATATATGTATGTTTGTTTGTCAGTCAGTCAGTTTGTTTGTAACTCTCCTTTTCATTTCATATTCATTTCCGTTTGAATTCTCGGGATATGTATTTGACAGAATCATCGACATTATTGCTTGCTCTATTCGCGGGCAGATGGCGCTGAACGTAACTATCAATTATTGCTTGATCTATTCACGGGTAGATGGCGCTGTACGTAACATACTTGATATTACTTGATTTATTCGCGGGCAGATGGCGCTGTAAGTAACTTCCTTGATATAATTCGAACTCACTGTATTTTGAGCTGGTCCCTACTATATTTAAGTAGTTCTCCGGTTTTTTTCTCGGACGGTTCCCTAATGAAGGTTATACTGTGTTTGTTGCCAGGTACTTATGTTATGTTACGCTTCTTATTGGTCCATGTCCTAATCTGGTTTCGTATCAATGATTTTGGTACCCCCAGAGCTGGTTCAGGACCTATAGGTATATGAAGTTGATGATCCGCGTCTAGCGATTCATCAGCTTTATCATTACCTGTGATTCCTGAATGCCCTGGCATCCAGTACAAAGTCAATTTGTTCCTGTCTGCAAGTTCATTCAGTTCTTCATGGCATTCCCAGGCCAGTTTTGATGTTACCTTCGGGTTTGTCGAGAGCCCCTAGTGCGCTTTTGTTGTCTGTAAAAATATTGATCCGCTCTTTTTTTTATGTCTCAATTTGATAAGCCTTGCACACTACAATATAGCATACACTTCCGCCTGAAAGACGGATGTGTATAGTCCTAGCGGATAGC